CGTTAATATTATTTTGTTAGTACTTTTTTAGTTGAACATTGGTATATGGATGAATGAAGTAGGTATACTATAAAGCTGTTGTAAAGTGGTTGTATTTTTTTTATAGGGAATACTAGTTCATTTTAGTAATAAAAAAAATCGTCAAAGCTACTTGTGAAGAAAATCCAAGAAATATAAATAAATTAATTATACTGGTGCATTCTAATTTCAAAGTTTGATAATTATCATTGGGTCCCGTTATTGTTTAGATGGTGGCGCCTTTTTTTATTCATTTCTAAGATTTAAGATAAAATGTTCTATCTTATTAACACGTCGTATTGGTAATTGTTAATTACAGGGTATTCATTTATTGGTGAGTGTCGATTATTGGTTAGATAATTAGTGAATTTTTGATCTTTTAACGGAGATTTAGATAAATTCTTGTTTAGATTTTATTTATAGGTAATAGCTTTTTTATGAAACTTACTACAGTAATATAATAACACCACTGCTGGTGCTATTGATGTATGTAGGTATGTTTTTTTTTTTTTTTTTTTTTATACCTGACAGGCAAATGACTCCACTCCACCTGATGTTAAGTGGAAAGTGGTATCCAAACGCGAAGGAACCTAGTGCAGCGATGGAATCCTCACTGCACTAGCCGCCTCCACCCTGCCTGCCTACAATATGCCTCTTCACGCCTCGTTTGAAGGACCCCATATCATAAGAGGGAGGGAAGACATGTGCCGGAAGGGAGTTCCATTTGTCAACCGTGCGGCAGAGAAAGGAGCCACCGAACCTTTTAGTACGCGATGGAATGCGGCAGGTAGTGAAACGGTGACTACGAAGGCCAGCACGCGTGCTTCTGAGCAGGAACGGGGACGGGGGGATGAGGTTGAACAGCTCCTCAGAGCACTCACCATGGTACATGCGGTAAAAGGCGCTAAGCGATGCAACATCTCTACGCAGTTGCAGAGGTTCAAGGCGTGATGAGACCTCTTCGTCGCCTATAATTCGAGTTGCACGACGCTGTAATTTATCCAAGGCATCGAGTAGGTACTTGGCGGAGCCGTCCCACAAGTGCGAACAATACTCAACGCAAGACCGGACCTGTGTTTTGTACAGCAGGCATAACTGGTCCGGCGTGAAAAAACGTCGCACCTTGTTCAGGACTCCGAGTTTCCGTGAGGCTGTTTTGATCACAGATTCGATGTAGCTCCTTGGATTCAAATCACAGCAGATTTCCATACCGAGCAAGGTGAAACTGCTCTGAGGTGAAAGTGCTGTGCTCATCAGAGAAGGCATGGGAAGGAACGGCGACAATTTTGTTGTTAACGCGCAAACCTGTGTTTTCTTGGCGTTGAACTCAACAAGATTACTGGATCCCCATGCAGATATGAGGTCCAATGTCCTATTGAGCTCAACGACAAGATCAGATCGCTCTCTGTCAGTATCGGCGCGCCCAGCTGCGGGGAATCCATGATATCCCCCATGAACAGTGCTATCATCTGCATAACAATGAATATTCCCAAGTGGAAGCATATCATTGATATGCAGAAGGAAAAGCGTGGGAGATAGGACGGATCCCTGCGGTACGCCGGCGTTCACATTCACGAACCTCGAAACGCTGCCGTCAGAAACGACGCGAATTCTCCGCTCACGAAGGAAATCGGCAATCCAGCTGCATAACTGGGCTGGCAAACCGTACGCCGGGAGCTTGGAGAGAAGGGCTTTGTGCCAGACCCGATCGAACGCTTTGGCTATATCGAGGCTAACAGCCAACGATTCGCCACGTTTGTCTATAGCCTCACCCCAAATATGCGATAAGTACGCTAGAAGGTCACCCGTTGATCGTTTCGGACGAAACCCATACTGCCGATCATTAATTATGGAGTGATCTTCTAGGTATTGGGTCAGTTGTTTATTAAGGATCCGCTCTAAAACCTTGCATATTATGGAAGTAATGGCTATGGGACGGTAATTATGCGGGTCTGATCGGTCGCCTTTTTTGGGAACTGGTTGCACATTAGCCTCTCTCCAAGAGTCCGGCACACGACCTGAAGAGAGCGACAGACGATACAGTCGCGTTAGCACGGGAGTCAACTCAGCTGCGCAATTTCTAAGTACAATCGCTGGGATACCATCAGGACCACTAGCTTTCCGGACGTCGAGAGACTGCAGCTGCGTACGCACATCGCATTGTCTGATACGAATATCAGACATCGTGTAGCCACAGTGAGGTAGAGTTGGTGGCTGTGCGTTACAGTCGTCGAGACAGGAGTTAGCCGCAAACAGATTTGCCAAGAGGTCGGCTTTATCCTGCGGCTTGTGGGCTAGATTGCCGTCAGAGTATCTCAGCGGTGGCAGCGAGGGCTGGCAGAAGTTCGACGCAACGGCTCTGGCCAGACGCCAGTAGCTACGACTACCTGTGGGATGCGTCAAGAGTTCTTGGCCAACTCGTGCGACGCGCTGAGCATCCGCTCTGATGTACGCTCTTTTGCAAGACCTGGTGGCATTATTGTAGGCTGTTTTAAGTGAGTTCGTATTGGGATCGTCTGAAGCTAGACCCCTGATCCAAGCACGGTATGCAGTCTGTTTGTTCTCAACAGCCACAGCACACTCGCGGTTGAACCAGCGGTTGCGCCTCCCTTTACTGACGAGATCCGAATGCGGGATGTAGTATTCCATCCCGATTAAGATCTCATCAGCAACGGTAGTCGCGCTAGCTGTTGGATCCAACTCACTAAAACAGCGCTGCCGCCAGGGAACGGATGCAAAATAGTCCCGCATACCGTCCCAATCTGCCGACGCATAATGCCAAATGCGGCGTTTAGCCACAGTAGGTGGTGGTGGCAGTAACGTTGCCACTTTAGTGGATATCAAGCAGTGATCCGAAGTGCCCAGAGGGGCTTGGACCACCACCCGATATCCAGCCGGGCGAGACGTCAGCAGAAGGTCCAACAAAGAGGGCGCGTCACCAACCCTATCTGGAATCCGGGTGGGCTGATTCACCAGTTGGGTTAAATCGTGTGTGAGAGCGAATGTGTGGGCAGTTCTTCCAGCATGGTCAGTTTTAGAGGAACTTAACCACGACTCGTGGTGAGCATTGAAGTCCCCTAAAAACACCAATTCCGCTGTAGGAAACTGCGCCTGCGCGTCATCTGCCGCCCGAGTAAGGTGGTCCATGAGACGAGTTGTCTCCATGTCGCCGTGGTGGGATCTGTAGAGGCACATGTAGACACGGCAATGACTGCCCAGGTCAACATGTACCCCAAGGATGGAGAAGGAGGGGTCCTCCAAATGACGCAGACGGCGACAGCAAACATCCGCCCGGACAAACAAGCAGACCCCAGCTTTCGCTTTGAAGGACTCTTCAAGCATATAGCCAGGGTAATTCAAGTAGCTGCTGTCAGCCGGGCAGAGTATTTGCGTCTCCGTAAGGAACAGCATTTCTGGTCGAGCCGTCTCAAGATGTTGATGGACGGCGTGGATGTTACTGTGGAGTCCTCGAATGTTCGTGAACTCCACCTTAAAGAGCGCTTTAGTGGTGGGGGTGTGCACCGCTGTACGACCGAAATTTGTACTTTGCGCTAACATGTTGGAGGGAAAAAGAGGCGTGAAGCGAGAAAACAGTGCCGCGACACAAGCGGTCAAATCGCGGGGCCTGCTTCCCCAGAGACTTGCCTACAGACAAGTTGCGCTGATCCGCCGGACGGAAGGGCCCCCGAACCCCCCCGGGAATGGCCGCCGGGACCCCACCTCCCGGTCACCAACCGGCACGACGAACCACACCGAGATTATGCGCGGCATGGTGAGGCAGCCTCACGAGCTGGTTAAGCACGCTTGGGCCCCTGTACTGTACCGCGGGCGGCCAGCGGAACAACCGTTTCTACGGGTCTCCCTGGCCGGCGGGTCAATGCAGTTGTCCTGGCACTGGTTCGGCGGAAGCCTCCACAGACCACAAATGTCGCGGCAGCGTTCCCTCGGGCTCTGGTTGTACGCTGACTGATCCCGGAACGCATCCGACTAGCGAATACTTGGCGGGTTTTCCATCATGCGCACGGTGGTCACTAACCAGGCGGGTTTTCAAGCCCTACCACCAGTGGAGCAGCTGGTTGCTCAATATCCCTTAGTCGCCTCTTACGACACCCACGGGAAGAGAGGGGCGGTGAATTGTATTCTAATCCGTCACCGCACGGTTCAAAACAAAAACAAAAAAGTTATTTCAAAGACGCACACCCCTTGAAATGTCGATAACTGGTACCATCACCCTACTTTCCACCTTTATTCCTGTTCCTACTCCACCTGTGTACAAATAATTGATTGGTCATTGGTCATTGGTCATTGCTATAAGATTGCTATCAACGATAATTAAATTGAAAATGTAGCTCTAATTGATTCCGAAGTCGTAAACTAAAATGCAAAAAAAATCTAAATGTCAAAACAGGTATTAAAAAAAAGACCATTGTGTCGTGCTACTTGACATTGACAGTTTCTTTTTTGTTTCCTTCTGTGGTTTCAAAACATTTTTTTGCAGATTAGTTCCTAAAACTTATATTTTACCTTGCATGAAATTTAAGAATACAATTCTACAGTTTGTGCAGTTGCACTTTCGAATAAGATGGCAGCAGATACCTTAAACATAGCACGACGTAAGTTAAACGAAGTGTTAGGAGAAAAGTCCACCAAGTACTTTAATCATATGAAACAATGGTTTCGAATGAAACTAACTAAAGAAGAATTCGACACTGAAGCCCGTGCTTTGTTAAGTTCTGATCAAGTACATTATCACAATGAGTTTTTACTGGCTTTATTGAATAAAGTTGAGGGTTTAGCTGAGACGTCGATTAGTATTGCACAGGAGAAGGCCAGTGCTCACAACAGACATAGTAGACGACATAAGAGGAGTTCTCGGACTTCGGAGAAATCGAATTTCGAACCGGCTGACTTATTGGAGTACTTGCCGCCAAATTCGCCGCCTGGCGCTGGAAGCGATGGCGTTAAATACGCGGCACAAGTAAGTCACTGTAGTCAATCCATGTTCGTAGCACAGACGGCAGCACATCAGGCTATACGTGATATACATATCACAAGAATACAAGATATTTTTTCGTTGAAAAATGTAGTTAAGTATGCAGGTCTTCTAGTTTATATTAGATAGTACATATCACCAAAACTTGGCAAACGAATATTTTACACAATATCTATTTCATCTTTTTTGATATTTTATTGTTTCAATCTGCTGTCACTTGTAAAGCCATAATCAGATGGGTTTTCTTAATGGCGATCGAGGGTTTTGCTCCTCCGAGCATCATACCCTGTCATGGTTTGTAGTGGTGTTCATATTCGGTGATCCAGGTTTTGAATGAGCCATTGTTTCAACCGCATTGGGTTTTGTGAATGCATGGATAAGGATTCAGACTTTATATTTTTTACTGTAGTTCTTTACTTCTTCTTTGATAGTTGGTATATTCAAATATTCATGGATCTCAGTATTCCTTATAATCCATGGTGCACAAGAAATAGTTCTCAGTACCAGGTTCTGAAATCTCTGCAATATCTCGAGATTTGAGTTGCTGGCTAACCCCAGAGTTCTATTCCATAAATCCAGATGGGTTTAATGATGCACTTGTACATGTTATTATTACTATTAGTACAGGTGTTTATATTGAATTGAGCAGCGCTTCTTTTAGTTTTATATACTGTGCCCAGGTTAACTGCTGATCAAGATGCATGCATTAAATTTAAATTAATACAGTAGCATCAAAGAACAACAATTGAAATTTAACCAGGAAATGGGAAGTCAAAAATATAACATACAATCATTGACTTACAAATAAATGGACGACGGATCTAATACAAAAACCACAAAAAAAATGTCCCAAGTCAACCTATTCGAAATTTAAATTGTAATGTCATCGCAGTATCGCGCTGTCAGTCGAACAAATGAAGACTAAAGCGGAGGTTGCGCTCTGTATACGATTTTAGCGCCTTACAAGTGCGGACGCTTTTTAGCGCGGACCCGACATCCATATAATTGTAAGTCAATGCATACAATAGATATATTTTATGATATCATATAAAAAGTCATCAATAGTGTAGAAGCATCAAGTAACTAACAAATTATGCAATTTTACATTAAATTGTCTACAATTTTTTTTAAATTTAAATGTAAAACTCCAAATAAAATCTGTAAAATTCTAAATCAGGGAGTTGTTTGGGCCATATTTCTATTTTATTCCTTTCCTTCCTGTCTTATTCCTTAAAAATCTTAAGTAAACTCCCAGAATATTTAAAAACAGAATTAAACATAAAAAAATTCATAAATGCATTGAAAAACTATTAATTTCTAAAAGTTACTACAATGTACGAGTATTTCCAGGATAAATTATAATTAATGTATTATTTATACAAGGTGCATGTTGGTGTGTTTGTTAGTGTACAAATACATTCATAAGTATACTTTTGCAACTACAACACATGTAAAGCACTTATAAATAAATAAATAAACAATGTTTATTTCACACAGATCGAGACAAATTTCATATGAGTTAAGTGGGTTTTCATCCAAGTACACAGAAACCATATTAGCTGTATTATATGGTTTCTGTATAATTTATAATAGTTTTAAACTTAGCAATTTCATATATTATCAACAGTAATCTTATCATAGAAGTGTTTACATTGCCTCTTAAATGAATTTGTTTTTATTAGAAGAAAATGAAATTGTAAAGTGTCTGTTTTGTCGCATTTTTTCAACAACCAGGTTGTCATTAATGACAAACTTGTTTCCATCACTCTTAGCATTCTTACCATACACTTAAATAATTGTCGATTGTTACACCTATTATATGATGATAATTATGATATGACTATAGCAACGTGAGCTGTCATTGCTACCACTAGAGCCAGTATAATGGCAAGATAAAAATTAAGCCTGCATTAACAAGTCCACCTTGAAATCAAGACCATTATTAAGATCTACTTAAGTCTAAACTGTTTATTAGTAATCAACACTTAAGCCGTGTTATTACCAGCTTTAGGGCCTGGGTGAATTGGTGTTTTTAAAGGTCTTTGCAAAATTTTGTTTTATTATTACTTAAATCAAATGTTACTGTTAAATAGTTTTTATATATTTACTTACTACATTTTATATGAAATATATGATAATATGAAAATTTTTATTCATAAAATATGTCACAAACAATTTCAAAATAAATTTGATTGGCATATTTGCAATGTTTAATTTATTATATTACCATTTACAGGAGATTTTCTTACCCGACCATGCATTGGTGGTTGGCCGGTTCATGCTGGCTGCCTGGGAGCTGGGGCTGGAAGGAGCTGACGATGAGGCCGCTGATATAGTAGTGGTTGCCGTTCAGAATTTTCTCAAGAATCTTATCAGCGCTGTTATATCTCAACGCAAAGGTAATGCATTACTGTTAATTTTAAATTAATCATTACATAACAATTGTACTCGGAATTCCTTATCCAGTCCATTTAATTACCTTTATGGTCATGCGGTTGCCACCATGACTGCTAGATTAGCTGTCCATTTAGTTTCCTGTTAAGTAGTACCAAATTAAGAAAAATTTTTCTCAATTGGTGCTGATCTTGGTGTTCAGGGTAGTATCCCCGGAGTTTATATAGGTACTGTGGTACTCATAGCACAGGAAGTACCTAAAGTTATTGGCGAGAAAGTATAGAGCATATTTATTTATTTTTATTGATTTGTATAACAAAAGACAAAATGTTTTTGTTTTCCTCATAAAATGTCTCCCAGCCAAGAATGATTCCCTGTACTATACATACCAGAGCATCGGATTCCACTTCTGGGTTCTGCCAAGAATACCAGGACCAGAAATTTCCCAGATAGGTTTTACTGAGAATCTAACCTGATACCTCCTGCGATACTTCGTCCAGTGCTTACAGTGAAAACCATAAGGTAACCTGCAATACATTTATTTGTATGTGGTCTACATACAATATCATACATAAAACTATCCATATGGGAGTACATGCTATTTTCATGTATATATTGTATATGAAATGTTTATACTTACAGGGTACAAAATGCGGAACAAATACTTTATGTACGACATTGGAGGTGAAGTGCCCAATATGTGGCTGCGCAATTCCTCCAAACTCTACGACCCTCAGGAAGATGGACGAGTGAATGTAGATGATGGACCAGATGCCTTGGGACCACGATGCCCACCAACTATAGATGAGGTGGAACAAGCTGCAGCATTAGAAATTGCTTGCAGGTAAATTATGACAAACACAATGATACCGCTCCGGTGTGGTCTCTAACTATAGATCGTCTATACCTTTCCTTATCTTTATTAACAAACTGATTGAGAAGAAATTTCCAGGAAAAAAAGAGTATGTCTCTCATCACCATTTTAAGTTGACTGTCCTACTAGGAATCAAACCGGGGACAATAGTGAACAGTGCCGGTTTGCAGGCAATCATTGGATTTAAACAAATGCCTCCAAAGAATGAAATCTGAGGAATGTAATATAATAATTTAAGCTGAGTTTCAAGTACTTTTTACAGTACAATTTTACATTGCATTTTAAATTTTTACATGACATCTCTTACTCAGCTTGCCTCTTCGAATAATCCTCCTCCAGATCTTTCCAGTGCGGTCTAGGAAGAGCTACTCTTCTCCAAAGTGGCATCAGCTTAAAAGGCTTAATAAATAAATATAATATTTTATTAAAGCTCTTTCAATCATTTATTGAACTGCCTCCGTGGCCGAACTAATATAATTTGTCTAAGGTGCTATCATAATGTAAACTACATATGCGCAACCGGCTTTTATATACTATCTTTCTATTCCATTTTATACCTCTTCCAACTTCATAGGACTACTATCATTGTTCTAATAGCTCCTTTACCTCATGTTGATCCTCTGGATCTGAACTAGTGGGATCCTCTGATGCCTGTGATCTGCCTCCACACACACTCCTAGAGCCCTTGCTCTGCCACCGCTGCATGCCCCCTTATACCTTCAGAATAATTGGCGGGTCTCATTCTTAATCTTATATTATTTCGTCGTACTCTATCTTCAGGCTGTCTAGACAACAAACTGTATCTAAGTTAGTAAGAAACATTGTGCAATCCATTGACCTACCAATAAATGGACGTCGGACACTTAAAAAGTGTTCGCACCTGTAGGGCGTTAAAATCGCATACAGAGTGTCAATCGCGCAACAGTCTTCGTCTGTTCGACTGACAGCGCGGTTGTCAATCATGCAGTGCCATATAATAATAACTTGTAAAAATTACTGCAGTAAAGTGTAAAGGCAGGATTTTGTATCATTAAACAAATATATTGTGTTATCATAGTTCTCATTTAAAAGTGATATTTTGTTCAGTTTTATAGTATTTAATTCATATATAAATTAATCGTAAATATAACTTACAAAAGCACACGAAATAATTAAATAGCTAACTGTCCTGTTTCTACACATTGCATGCGCAAAAGACGGAAAGAGCCCCATTACGTCAATTTCAAGACGCTTATATAAACTTCTTGGTCATTTTCAATTGTTCGAACCACAAGCAATTGAAATATTTAGAACGAAGAAACTATAGATTCGCTTTGAGTTTAATCTTATTTTTAAAATGGTTTTTTTTTATAAAAGTTTCCAGTAGAAGCTGAATATGGTGTTTTTGGGCCCTTTGCCCAAACAATGAAGTTACAATTTAAATTAAATATTTTAGTTTTTTATATTTCGTTACATGTCACTACGTTTGTATAGGTTAACTTCGGACATTTTTTTCGTGGTTTTTGTATTAGACCCAACGTCCATTTGTTGGTAGGTCAATGGTGCAAACTTAACAACTGTAGTGCAACCAAACAGTGCACTCCCTGCAGACTCCTGAAGTCTCACCTTCAGAATTTATGACGCCTGCTCTGCAGGGCTTGTTCCCTACTCTTAGGTATCATAACAGACTACATTTATTAATGCTGATATTACAAAACTTATAATAAATCGCGACATAATTCGTGACAGTGTGTGTAATTACATCACGCCAGTTGCAATTGTCTTGACTCAATAAAGATTTGTATTACGTATCGTACATTTTTTTAGTGAACTTATTTTATTTAAGCGCACCAAACAACGAACCCAACGATGACAGATTAACGATTGAAGAGTTCTACAACACATTGCTGACGCATAGGAACGTCATACCGTGCCATTCAGTGTACGCCATCAACATGGAAAGACTGGCGGTTATGTTAAACCATCCCAGTTACTAAACTAACACTAAAAGCTAGTTTAAATCCGGAAAAATAGTTTCATCTCCTATGTGTAACAATCGCGAAGACCTAAGAACTCGATTGAATTACATTGTTATGATTGACAAGTTAGTAGGTAATATCAGTAATATTTGAAATTGTAAATTATAGCAATTCAGTTTTAGTGCTGAAAGTAGCTCATCAGCTCGTATTGATATAGCTTGGATATTCTTATGAACTTTTCTAAACTTAAGACATATGTAATTGACTAGTTAGTAGAGAGTATCGCTAAATTTGTCGTTAATTGTAAACTATTGCGATCTCATTTAAAAATTAAGTTTAATTATTCTTAATAAAAATAATATTGTACAAATGTATCTCTCTTATTTACTTACATTATGTACCTACATATATTACGAAATGAATCAAAAACAAAAAACCGACATAACGTAATTACAGGGTGATTTTTTTTAAACTGCTGCTCCCGCACGAATTTTGCAGGATTACGCTTGTGGGGTCGGCGGGATTTGCGGGATTGAAAAAGGCTTAATTTGAAGAAAATTGCCCTTTTTTCTTCTAATACCGTTTATTATGAGCTCTGAAAATAGAAATTGAAGTGAGCAATAACACTCGTTGTCAATAAAACAAAAACACTTACTGATAACATATATTAAGTTTTAACATATATTAAGTTGTAATCATTCGCGAATAACAACCAGAATTTTTACATTGAAAAATTCGGGTGAAGTCCGCAGTGTCGTTCCATATTTCAGTTATAGGGTTGGGGAAGAAAAATACAATGTTACATAATACATCCGAATCGACTACAATGTAAAGAGTGGCAACGGTATTTTATAGTGCGCGCGGAACTAGCTGGCCGCGCCTTAGGTATGTGAGCGGTGGGACGGGGAGGCGGGGGCACTTGATGTCATTACTCAGAATACTCAGTTCGGCGCCGGACTTCGCGGCGGCAACACACGTTGACAGTTCTGGCTAGTTTAGACAAAACGCACAAGAGATTGCAATGTCAAGATGAGTCCGCCGATAAAAAGACAATCTAAGGAAATAATATTTAAAGTGCATACGTTTTTTAAAAAACGGAAAGCCGATGTCAATAGTTTAGAATATAAAACTGATGCGAATATTCATAAATTAGTGGCAGAAGCAACCGGGATATCAGAACGAAGTGTAAGGAGAGTGATTGCTCAAAGTAAAACATCCTTGCAAAATACAGGGGAAGCAAAATTTAGTTCTCCACGAAGGCCAAAAGAGATAAAAAAGAAAATACAAGTTGATGATTTTGATTTAGGAGTGATAAGAAGAAAAATAAATCAGTTTTATACGGTACAGAAAACAAATCCAAGTCTATGAAAACTAAATGCTGTGTTAAAAGAGGATAATATTTTAGATTGCGGATTAACTTATTTAAGAGAACTTTTGCACAAACTGGGATATTCATTTAAAAAATGTAAATCGAAGAGATCCCTTTTATTAGAGAGACCAAACATTGTTGAATGGCGAGTGAAATATTTGAGGGCCATAAGAAAATTCAGAGAAGACAAACGAAATATATTCTTTTTGGACGAAACTTACGTTAACCAAAGTCATAATGTCCAAAAATGTTGGCAATCTTCGTCGGAGCCTGGTGTTTATGCAGATATAGGCAAAGGAAGGCGTTTAATAATAGTTCACGCTGGTAGTCGGAACGGGTTAGTTGACGATGCTCTGCTAATTTTTAAATCAGATTCAAAAACAGGAGACTATCATGGAGACATGAACTCTACAAATTTTTACAACTGGGTTGATCGAAAGTTAATACCTAAACTTCCACCTAACTCAGTCATAGTTATGGACAATGCAGCTTACCACTGTGTGCAAGTTGAGAAGAAACCGACTATGTCCTGTATGAAAATTAATATGCAGAATTGGTTGCAAAATCATAACGTGCCCTTTTCTCCCACGATGGTCAAAGCTGAACTCTTGGGCTTGATTAATACGACCCAATCAGAAAAAATATACACGATTGATGAACTTCTGAAAGGTGCAGGTCATACTGTTCTAAGACTACCTCCATATCATCCAGATCTCAACCCAATCGAGCTTGTGTGGGCAAATATAAAAAATTGCCTGGCCAGAGATCACATTAATGCTACATTGGACGAGAAAATTACAATACTAACAAGACTATTTTCTGAATTTTCTGCCGAACAATGGCAAAAATGCGACGACCACGTACAAAAAAACGAACAAGAATACTGGAATCATGATATGAGATATGATACTGTGATGGACGAATTCATTATAAACTTACAAGATGATTCTGACTCAAGTTCAGACAATTCAGAATCAAGTGATTCAGAGGATAATATGTCAGAGTAATTTCATATCTATAAATACAAAGTCGTGTTAGTTACACTAATTAATTAATAATAATTTCATAAATGATTCAAATATGTCGGAAGAATTTCATTTAATTTGTTTTTGGTTTATTTTACTTTTAATTGCAATGTACGGACAACAGCAAGTCCATCAATACATAAATGTCAAATTTATCCAATCAATTTTATACTCTATTCCCTGGACTTTAAGTTGAAAATCAATTGAGGAAATCTGACAGTTTGTGGCGGCCTGATGTGCTGCCGACTGTACATTGCAATTAATTAGATAGGTATAATATAAACTTGTAAAAGTTCAATTGGCTTTAATTTTTTCTTTTCAATAACTGAACAATTATTGTTCACGATATCTCGAGATTGGTCGTCACTGTCTAATCTCATGTGCGTTGCGAGCAGCAAGCAACCCGCCCCCTCACCCCTGTCCCTACCTAAGGCGCGGCCAGCTAGTTCCGCGCGCACTATAGTAACATATATTTTATGACATCTTACCAAAACTAATTTAATTACCATTAATTACTTACTAATTTTGATCTAGATATAATAATAGTAATAATGTGTTCCGTGCCGCACGAATCATCGCCGAATCCACTGAAAATCAGCGTCGTACCACACTTTCAGTGAGACGGCACTAGCTGAGTGGATGACGGATTCAGTGGCTGCACAGCACACATCCTGTCTCCCTTATCTTTCTTTCTTCTATTTTTTATGTTTTTGTTTTGTTTGTAAATTGTATGTGTGCTGTGCTTTACATTGAATAAATAATTTCTATTCTATTTCTATTTCTATAATTCTCTAAAAGATAGAAAAGAAAAATATAGAACATTATTAAAAATTTTGGAACTGTTTATAAGTAGTAAATATTATTTCTCAATTGATATTTTGATAAGTTATAAGTAAAGCCCAAAAATTCGGTCATAATTTTTCTGGACCCAATTTCAGTAAAATGACGAACGATTGGTGCGCAATTACCGTGTTGGTGGCAGCCGTTGCTGTCAGCGCGGATCTCTACCATCCAAGTGTTAAATTTGAAATCAACCCGTACCATGCGTCAGAACAAGAATCCAATTTGGTACTGATTACAAAACAATAAGCAAAAGCCGAATTGGTGAAGAAGTAGAAATATTTTTCGAAACTTTTCCTGTCGTCGGGCTGTCCAAATTAGGTACACAGAGCATACGTTTATAACACCAATCATAAGATGCAACTTCATCATTTTATAATTTTACCGTCTATAGACATACTGTCTGGATGCTCCAATCACGGATTCAGCATTTACAGCACAGCTGACATCGCTTATCATCTCTTATACACCGACTGGAAAACATTTCAAGGTTCAACTAATAACCATTGAAAGTATAGTTTTATATACAATTGCAAACGATAGTATTGCAAAGTACCTATATTCTATTTTTTTGCGCTCGGTGATTTTAGGAGATGGAAGGAGAAAAAAAAAACTTCGCCAAAAAGCTGGACCAATGATAAAGGTTCCAATGACTTTAAGAGGGAAGAATAGGCAGCTGACAAAACAGCAAAGCACGCGGATCATCGCTACGTATGGAACCGTTCTCAGTAAATGAGTCTGCGTGACAATCCACCGGAATACCTACTAGACTTATTTGAATCCAGTCACATGCATAATCACATGGAACGAAATAGACAAACGGAGCCAACGCTAACAGAACTTACAGAAGTGGCAATTAACTCCTTGAGCCCCAACGAGAAAGGCATCTTTTGGTTTGTCGTGATGTGCGTGGGCTTATCGATCACGCACATCACGACAACTACGTGCAACTGTAGACGAGACTTTTAGAGTTCGACATTGCGATTAAAAAGGCAGTGGAAACACTTGGAGAGGAAGACACATTAATAGTGGTAACCGTTGATCACTCAGACGTTATGGATTTCAACGGATATTCAGTTTGAGGATATGATATCCTGGATGCGGCGGAAGAAGTAGTTCCTGGCGATGCACCCTTTCATAGTATTTCATACACTAACGGACCCGGGTACCGGAAGCCCGTAAACAATGCCTAATTTGAGAGGATCTAAAATGAATTACCAACGCGGAAGTGTACAGAAATGGAGGAACTCACACAGGTGATGATGTAGCGATATTAGCTACAGGACCCTACTACCACATGTTCACTGCATTATACGAGCAAAGTAAGATGATCATAGCGTACGCTGCGTGTACCGGTCCCGGTCTGCATGCTTGCGGCAGTGATGTCTAACTGTTTACTAATCAACGTAGTAGCTTTCTTTGTATTGTTACTCGTTGTCCGATAGTAAATAAATAGTTATATGTAAGTATATTGTTCATTATCGGATATTGTTGAACGACTAGGGCGATATCAATAGAGTATGGGTCGAAACACAAAACTGCAAATAGCTGCGATGCGATTTTGTGCGGCAAAGCGTCTCACTGCCACAGTTCGGGTAACCGTTCCTTCGACAATCGTCAACCGCGCCGAACGTGTTTTTTAAACTAGGCAGCGACATGGATCGTAAACGAGTGTTGTCAACTGCTGTTATTGATAAGTAAGTATAGCAAAACCAACCAAAGAAGATTAACTTCGCAGGAACGCGCGATGCGGAGCAATTCGCAAATTCTTGCGATGTATCGTGCGAACTCGTAGATTTCTGCGATGCGACATAGTGCGGTACGCTGCGACGACGCCGCCGGAGTAAGCAGCGTTACGTTGCGATACAAAATTGCGCATGTGGCATTGAAATTGTAGCATGAGAGAAACCCTGTATCGCGGGTGCCACGGACACAGACAACCACAAATCACATCCAAACTCACGAGAGAAATAAATACAGGCCATCATTGACTTACAAATAAATGGACGACGGGTCTAATACAAAAACCACGAAAAAAATGTCCCAAGTCAACCTATTTAAACGTAGT